AAGCTCAACATCAAGAAGACAAAGATTCTTACCACTGAGCCAACTGGCAGCACCAGGATATATGGAGAAGAGACTGAAATTGTTAACAATTATAGCTTGCTCAGCTCCACAGTCAACACTCTTGGAACCAGCTATCAGGAATTTAAAAAAAAAAGAATTGTATTAGGGATATCTGCTCTCAGGGACCTCTCCAGAGTAGTGAGAAGCAACAATGTCAATCTAGAGAGTAAGGTGTACCTAATCCAGGCCATGGTCTTTGAAATTATTATATCAGAGAGCTGGACAATGACTAAGGATGACAGAAGAGGAATTGATGCTTTTGAATTGTAGTGGTGAAGAAGAGTCTGGAACACACCACAGACCTCCAAAAAACACAAACAGGTCTGTCTTGAAGAGGGTGAAACCAAGTTTCTCCTTGGAGGGTAGGATTTTGAAGCTCTGTTTTAAACATTTTGGTTAAGTGGCCAGGAGAGAGTGGTCTTTGGAGGGCATTATACTCAGAAGGCTGGAGGGACAGTGCAGAAGAGTAAGATCCCAGACGAGATGGATTGAGACAGTAATTGTGGTAATAGGGATTAGTGTGTCAGAATTAGTGAGACTGTCTCAGGACAGGGTAGGGTTCAGAGCCGCTGTACACAGGGTTGCGGGTGACTCACAGCACATAACAACAATTGTTTCCTTGCTTTGTTCACAGAATAATCTCTTGTTTTATAGGTAAAGGTTTCACATGAGCACAATGAGGTGTTCCGTGATTCCCATTCTTCTCAGTGTTACCTGTAATTTGTTTTAATCCACACTGCCAAATGCCTTTGTATAAAGGTATTTTCAATAAAGCAAAAATAGACAATTAAAAAAAGATTTGGCTCTTTAATTTTATAAGATGATATCGACTCAATTCTCTTTCTTTCCCATGACAATCTCTTCTTTGTAAGAAAAACATCCTTATTAAAACAATTTTTATTATGTTTATCCCTCATTTAGCCAGATGGTTTGTTTCGAATCATCAAATCATTATGGAAAACTAGCTTTAGGCAAAAGTAGAGAATGAAAACATCACATCACTAAATAGAGGAAAAGTACATTATTACACCACTGTCCAATTACATCATTACATAGATGCTGAGCCACCAAGAACTGTGACATGGCTAAACTGACACACAACCTTCACTATCACAGCCAGTGCTCCTCTCTGAAGTGCATCTCACCATTCATTACTGCCAGACATAGAGTGTTAGCGCACATCTGATAGCACATTTTTTTTTACTATTGCCTTAAATGTAAAATATCGGCTAATGAGGTAATCGATAAGTGAGTAGTAGGTGTACATCAAAATATTGACAGAAACCTTAAGTCCTAATGTCTGAAGTTATCTGTGGACATGATTTATTGTAAAAGTTCTGTTGTTACAACTTGGCAATTAGGAAGTATTGATGAATGCAAACACATTATTGATGTCAATTAAAAAAGCACAAGATTGATGAGCCTACCAAAGTGCTTTGACACCAACAGTTAGAGAGTAATGCCCATCAATACATATCTAACCAGGATAAATGTGGAGCTAAATCAGGCTGCCAGGAAACAAAGAGTATTAAAAGTGAGATGATTTAAACAGTGAACATCTACTCAGCAGGAATATCTAAGAGAACGCCAGTAAAATCCTATCAAAAAAACCTCCAAAAACACATGGATGTTTGCTGGTGATGAATGACAGGCGGTCACCATGAGTTGGAAGCAACTCAAAAGTTTAGGCAAAGAAAATGTTCAAAATGGATTCAAAGACACTCTTCAGCCAAATAATGGGCCAAATGCCTGAGGTGGTGGTACTCCGTTATACAAGTGACAAGCATGTGCTAAGCCAGACTAAAGAAAAGGGTAGATTTACAACAAACTAAAAAACTAAACCTGCTACAGTGCATTTTCTGATTCATAGTAACCCTATAAAACAGAGAAGAACTTCCTCTCCCTTGGAGTGGCTAGTTCATGTGAACTGCTGACTTTTTGGCTAGCATCTGAACTCTGTAACCACTGTGCCACCAGAGTTCCTTTTTGTTGTTGATTGCTGCTGAGTCAGGCATGACTCATAGCAACCCTATGAACAAAAGGCCTGAAGCCTTTCTATAACTTTTGTCATTTATCAAAGTTCATAGAATTTCCAGAGGCATTGTGTTTACGAAGTGGACACCACTCTGCAGGTATCCTATTTAGAATACCCTGAACAAAAGAACCAAGGAAGGTTCTTTATGGAACCTTATGGAAGGAGAAAGAAGATTTCAGTTATTTAAAGAACAGAGGTCCAGTCAAATCAGGGCCTACAGGAGAGCAGCTGCAGCCCAGAATGACAGTCCTGAGGTGGGACAGAGCTGGCCTGGGACTGCTGGCCCATAGAGCTTGAGCCAGAGGTTTTCACTCAAGCTGGAGAGTGAGGTGAGAGAGATGTCATAATTGGTATGACTAGGAGAGCTTTGTAACACTGGCCTAAAGCCCAAGGCTGAAGAGCCTGATAGCATTTAGAAGTTGTTCTGACCAAGAGATTGTATCCTGTTGCCAACCTGAACTGCAACCTGTTAACTTCCCTATTAAATCCCATAATCCTGAGTATGGTTCTGTGAGGTCTGTGTAGTAGCTACTGCAGTGGATGTTGGACCTGGCAGAACACTAGGATAGGTGTTAGAATTAGCAGAAATAGGTAGGGGAGCACTGGGAACATGTCTGACCTCATGGACACTGGTTTGATACTGTGGATACTGTCAGTATTCCTCCTTGCGGAATTAGTAGAGGTCAGACTTAGCTCTCCTCATGCCACCCTGGTTCTTTTTACAGTCTTCTAATATAAATTCAGATGGGGTTTTGTGGCTGTTGTTTTTCATAGAAAAGGCATACACCCATTTTACACTCAGTGCTGTTGTTCGATGTCATTGAGTCAATACTGACTCCTAGTGACCCTATGTCAAACTTTACTCAATCCTGCACTGTCTTCACAACCTTCTGTGCTCAAGTTTCTAACTCACCTGTCAGTCAGCTGTGCTGTGGTGGCCTGTGTATTGTTATGCCACTGATATTTTAAATAGTAGCAGTGTATGGCAAATTTCGGCAGAGCTTCCACACAAAGAATAAGAAAAGCAAGACTGGCATTTCTGAAATTGGCTTTCAAAAAACCCTATGAATAGCAACAGAAAATTTCCCCCTCAGGTTGGCTCTCAGAAAGTTAAGGAGGGAAGAGCTACCTCAAAGTAGAGTCTACCTTAATGACATGGATGGACTAATACTTCTACCCAATGGAGCACTTTCATTTGCTGATGTAGACTGACTCAAGAATAGCCTCAAACATTACATGGAATGGCTATGGGGATGGGGGGTGCATTCAATGGAATGGCTATGGGAGCTGGGGGGTGGGGAACCAGATAGTAACACATGTTCCTGAGGATGTGGAGAAACTGGAAACTTCACACACCACAGGTATAACTGCAAAATGATGTAGCCACCTTGAAAACATTCTGGTAGTTTCTGCCAAAGTATAAAGTAAATATGATGCAGCAATTTCACTCCAAGCCACATACATGTTCAAGAGAAAGGAAAATACAGCCATATTAAAAAAACCTATAAATATTCTTAGTAATATCAACATAACTGACAAAACCCAGAAACCAACTAATTTATGCACAAAATGGAATAGGATTTAGCAACAGAAAGGAATGACAGAATGACAGAAATGATGACATGGATGAACCCTGAAAACATGGGTTAAAGAAGGGAGTCTCAAAAAGACTACGTATGTTGTAATTCCATTTACATGAACTATTTAGAGTGGGCAAATCAACTCAAACAGAAAGTCGATTGGTTGTTGCCCAAGGCTGGTGAGAGAAGGGTCTACGAAGACACTGGAGTGACTGCTAATAGGTAATGGTTTGCTTTTGGGATGAAGGAAATAACTTCAATTGATTGTGCTGGAAGTTGCACTATGTGAACACACTAAGAGAAAAATACCATATACTTTAAATCGGTGAATTTCATGGCATGTAAAATGTATCTCAATAAAGCTCATAAAAGAAGGACCCTAAAATGTGCAACAATGGAAAAATATGAAAACATTTTTATATAAAAAAGTAGTAATGTAAAAAGTATTAGAATATTTGCTGTTTAAAAAAAGAAAAAAGAAAGAAAGGCACCATCAAGTTGGGAAACACGATCTACACCATGAAATCTACACAGTACTGGCCTTCCCTAAGGAAGAACTCTCTCACTCCTTCCTAATGAGTTGATCCTGACTTGTAGCAACCCTGCACTGGGCTTCCAAGGCTGAAAGAGAAAGAGAAAGCTCAACCTTTTCCGGAAGTGGATTAGAAATACTGGGGATGCATGACCTTTTATTTACCAGTGTAACACTATAGACTGTACCACCAGAGCAGGAGTCACTGGGCTGGACCTTGAGTGTTCTTGGGGTTGAGAAATTGCCAGGAAATTCTCTGAGAATGGTTAGTATACTGCTCAGGCCAACTCAGGTCAATTTAAGCCTTGATAATCACTTTCTTTTGGGGGTAGGGAATTTGAGAAAACTATCTATGCATCAGAGAGCTGGACAATGACTAAAGATGACATAAGAATTGATGCCTTCGAGGTGTGGTGCTGAAAAAGAGTCTTGAACATACTTTGGATTGCCAAGAAAACAAAACCTTTTGAAAGGGTGAAACCAAGTTTCACCTTGGAGGTTAGGATTTTGAAGCTCGGTCTCACATACTTTGGGCACATGGCCAGTAGTGACTGTCCTTTGAGAAGGACATCATGGTCGGAAGGGTGGAGGGTCTGCACAGGAGAGGAAGACCCTGGATAAGATGGACTGATTGATACAGTAATGTGGGTGTTATATCGGAATTAGTGAGACTGGCTCAGAACAGGGCAGGGTTCAGAGCTGCTGTACATAGGGTCATTAACAGTCACAGGTGACTCGACAGCCCATAACAACCACCGCCGCCGCCACCACCACCACCACCACTACCACAACTCTATACATTCACACATTCACAGTTGCCATTGGGTGTACTTCCAACAGCACTGTCCTCTTCTGCTTCAATTATTCTTCTTGATTGTACCCCAAGGTTATCTGAAAGTAGCTGACAGTGGACAACTTCTGCATCTGAGGTCTGCAAAAAGTTTCAATAAAGACCCAAGTATACAGAACACAGACAACAACAATCCTGAGACGTAAACATATTTTACAAATATCTTTCTTGTTGTTATAGAGATATTAATCTTTTCAAATAGCTCCTCTGAAAAGAAAAATGGTGCATGACTTCCTGAATAATTTCACCTACACTTGGAATCTTACTTGGAAAAATACCTGTTATAAAGATACAGGACACTGCGGATATTCTTCTTTACAGAGTTTATGTGACAGCTTAGTCCCAGAAGTACAGGCTGGAAAAGCTGTAATTTATGAGTAGTAAATCCTCAGTTGCATCTAAAGAAACTTAAAAAAGAAGTTAAATAGCTTCTCCCTGAGATGAAGAATTCATTCCCACGGCCAAGTCTATGGCTACTCTTTGCACACTAACATTTGTCATTCTACTCGGTTGTTAAGGATGCTGACTTGCAGTATTTGCCCTACTCCAAAGAGCATCATCATGGGCATGCATTTTATGTTACCTGATGGGAGCACATTTAATTTTCAGTTGTAATAAAAGGAAATTTTATTGTATAATTTATAGGAAAATTTTAATGAGTCTAAAACTGTAAGAGTACTAAAGAATAAAAACAGTGATCAAAATAAAGATTTAAATTAGAAGACCCAATGATCGAGAATAGTGGCTGTAAAATTCCGAACTTGTTTCTGAGACTCACCTTTTAGAGATCAAGCACCTATGTACATTGGGTGTTTGGGAACATCCAGAGTGCCTCCCCATCCTGGCTGCATGTGAGAATCATGTGGAGAGATTTGACAATTACATGCTCAAGTCTCATCCCTTGAGATTCTCATTCAGTTGATATTGAGTACATTGGTAAGATTTTTCAAGCATCCCAGGTGGTTCTAAGGTTCAAAGCTGAGAACGAGCACAAGATAGAAAGCTCTGTATTTGAGGACCCCACTAAAGACCAGGTAGTCTTTGGTTCTCCTCAATAATACTCAGTCACTGACACTGAGTGGGTTCCAACTCACAGAGACCTCTCTGAGCTTTTAAGTCTATAAATCATAATGGGAGGATATTTCCCATCTTTCTCTTAAAGAGCTTATTAATGCACAGTATCTCATTCAGTAATCACAAAAATATTAAGAAGCAAGTAAGGTAAATAGGAAGGAAAGTCTAGTTTCCTATAGGAAAATCTTTGATCAGGAATTTATGTCTTTTGTTTATACTTAAGTTAGAAGCAGAGCCTACACTATAGACAGGTCCTCCAACTTCCAGTTTAAAAGCCTTTCTTCTATGACACTTTGCATAAGCTGTCTTGCCTTTATTAAGCACGAATGGAGATTGTACGATGTCTCTGAGACAGTGGGAATAAAACGGTAAGTACAAGAAGTTTTTCTAGAAGCCCATAGGCTAAGGACAGAGACTGACATACTGACAGACATACACACTTGTGTGCCGTCTGGTTGGAACTGATTCATAGCTGACCCTCCGTTAGGTATTCAGAGGCAGATAAGCACACAGAGCAGACTGCCCATCTTTCTTCACACGATTCAAACTGTGTACCTTTGGGATTGTAGTGCAACTTCTTACCATTGGCCCACCAAAATGTGTACACACTCTCTCTCTCTTCCTTCTTTTCTCTCTACACACACACACACACACACACACACACACACACACACACACACACCCAGTGCAACACATGATAGATGCTGTATGTTGCTGTTGTTACGTGCAGCAAGTTGATTTCAACTCATAGCAACTGTATGAACAACAGAATCCTGCCCTGTCTTCATCATCTCTGATAACGCTAAAATCCACTGTCATCTTGTCAATCCATCTTGTTGACGTATTCGTCTCTTTTTCTGACCCTCCACTTTTCCAAGCATGATACAATTTCCCAAGGACTAGCCCCCCCACCCCCGACAACATGGCCAAAGTATGAGATGAAGTTTCATCATCCTTGCTGCCAAGGACCATTTCTGGTTGCACTTCCTTCAAGAAAGAAGGTTTTTCGCAGTATATCAGTACTATTCTCCACAACTCAAAGGCATCAGTTCTTCTTATATCTTTATTATTTATTGTCCAACTTTCAGATGAAAAAGAGGCAATGGCTAATACCATGGCTTAGATCAGGCACACCTTAGTCTTTACTTATTTAAGACATCTTTGCCATGTAGGACTTTGCAGAGGTCCTCGACAGCAGATTTTCTGAATATAACACATCTTTTGACTTCTTTGCTGTTGTTACTATGGGTGTTGATTATGGAGTCAAGTATAATGAAATCACTGGCAACTTAATTTTTTCTCTATCTATGATGCTATTAGTCCAACGGTGAGGACTTTTGTTTTCTTGATGTTGAGATATGTAATTCATACTGAAGGATGAAGTCTTTAATCTGCAGCAAGAGCTTCAAATCCTCTTTACTTTCAGCAAGACTACACACACACACACACACACACACACACACACACACACACACAACTCCTAGTGACCCTGTGAACAAAAGGCTTGAAGGCCCTCTATAATTATTGACTTTTATCAAAGTTCATAGGGTTTCCAGAGGCATGTTAGTTAGGAAGTGGATGCCACTCCTGCTTCAAAAAATTCACACACTCTCCACCTACTTGCATCATCAAATCAAACCAATCAGAATCCAACTGTTGGGTGCCATTGAGCTGGAACCTACCCATGCCTGACCCTTCAGTGGGTTTTCAGGGAGAGTAAATTGCACAGGAGGAGACCGACCATCCCCCTTCTACAGAGCAGTTGGTGGATTTGAACTGCATGTCTTTGGGATTGCAGCACAGCTTCTTACCACTAGGCCACTAGAATTCCCTTTTGCATTCTACTCACCAATTATTAACACATCTTGACTGCATGTTTAATCAATTTTAGACTCCAAATGTTGGTAGAAATTCTCAAATTTTTCATCTATGATTTCAGTGGATTGTGTGTATACTTAAATAGTTGTGTTAACAGGTTTTTCTTGTTTGCCTATGGATAGTATCCTATCACTTACAGCATTGCACTGCAGGCTAGACCTTGAAATGTTTTTTTACTATGAATGCAACACTATTCTTCTTTAATTTGTCACTCGATGCACAAAAAAGGTCATAAGATTGAAAGTGAACTACACCGTCCATCTCGTTCACTAATGCCTAGGAGTCAATCTTTATGCATTCCATTTTATTTCTGACAACTTTCAATCTTCCTAGATTCATACTTCTACATTTGATATCCCAAATATTTATGGATGTTTGCAGCTCTGCAGTCTTCTAATCTGAGTGGCTGTGTTACTACATCTAACACTGCTCTTCTGTTACTCATCAGGCTTTTGAAGGCCTATTATTTCAGAAGCAGATGGACAATCTTGCTTCTTAGTCTGTCAGCTCTGCTGAAACATGTCTACCACAGGTGGGCCAGAGGGTAGGGTAGAACACTGTCCATCACCTATTGAGTAGTTGGTTGGTGGGGGGTTGGCACTGGGGACAAGGGGAAGATTGGACCTTTTCAGCTCTGTAGATACCACTGCAGCTGCTATTACCACCTTCCTGGACTCTTATGCCATGTGGATAACTGTTCAAAAGGACAGTGGATGCCATTAGGTAAGAAGGGGGAACAAGGGTACTGAGGGCTTTCCCCAAGGGAGATGGCAGTATACAGAAGAGTGCTTCCTACTTAGTCAAAGTGTACTTCACACCATATTAAGAGGGATGCAAGGCTCAGTCTTCAAGGAAGGTGGAGGAAGAGATTTAGTAAGGTCATGGAATACTGGAAAAGTAGGACACAAAGATAACTGATTGCTATAAGCAGTCCAGAAGAACAGAAAAATAAGTAGAAAAATAAGGGGCTGGGTTTTGGAAAATAAACCACCACCATCATCACCTCCTCTGCGCTCAAAGACTAGAGTCTATGAGTGGTATCACAAAAACCACAGAGAAGCAGACTGATGCAAACTCTAAATAATAGCTAAAAATTATTAACAAAACAAAGCAAAACAGTTCGGCTCTATGAAGATAGACCCTGGTCCAAAGCAAGAGGCAAGTTTCTATTTTCTACTTTTCCGGGTTCCTGTCTTATCTCCACCAGAATCTCTGTGGAGTCTCAGGGAAGAAACCTCATTAGTAAATGGGGTCACTAGTCACCTGTCTGAAAGGGCGGTTTCCTTTCCTTGCTCTCAGGCCCCCTACAGGTCCCCTGTAACATCCTGCTATCCCTGGGTGTTAAAAGCTTCTACAAAGTGCAGCCCTAGGCTGTTCTCAAAATGGCCCTGCTGCCACTGACTGCAAAGAACCAGCATTACCTAACTGTAGCCTTATGCAACCAGTCCCGCCCACACGCTGCTCTCGGCTCTGTTAGACTCACTTCTGTAAGGCTCTGCAGTAGCAATTTCTTTCTAAAGTTGATTCATAAATAGAGAAGGTCAGTGACATAATTCACCCCTGGTCAAAAATCTAACATCCAGAGGTATGTTCCTGGGATCTAACAATCATTATCAATTATTTTCAGAATCAGATGTCAGTGGTTTTCACCTTAGGGATCTTAGGGTTGAAGAGAGCCTCATTATCCGCGTGAGGAAGCTGGTATGCAGAAGCCAGCTTCTGGCAGGGGTTTGGGTATTTACTTTGGTGGCCTAGAAGTAAGAAGCTGTGCTGCCATCACAAAGGCATATGGTTCAAATTCACCAGCTGCTCTGCAGAAGGATGTGTAATCTCCTTCCAAGAGATTGACTGTCTTTGAAAACCCTCTAGAGGGTAAGTTATGAGTGGTTCTGACTCTGGGGCTTACAATAAGAACAGTGCATACCTATGCAGGCAGGTAATTCAGGAACTCATTCAACTATTTGTGAAATGGAATAACCTATTGCAGGAAATCTCAACTCTTCACCTTGACAAGCTAAGAGTTCAAGATAGAATACTGTTAAAGATTAAATATAGTTAATTCATTAAGAAAACCAAAACCCAAACCTCTTAGCATTATTAAGGACCTTAGGAATGCTGATGATCTATCA